TTTTTTTTTTTTTCTATGAACTTTTTAATTTATCCGTTTTTAGGAAACAAGCGATGCTACAATACCGGCACTTCGCGTTTCTTGAACCCTTAATGAGGGAGATACAGCTGCCTGCACGTTCCGCTGGTGAAGTGATTTGGCATCCAGATCAGTTTCAGCAAGCTCATTTTCAGCAGATGCAGCTTCAACAGACACAATTTCAACCAGCCCAAGTCAGCACTCCCCCGCTTTCACTTATAGTACCAGGTAGAAGTTCCAGAATTGTTACAATATTTTTGCGACTCTTATTTTAGTTATTCTGATATTTTTTGAATTTGTTTCTTTTCTTTATGGAAGTATTTGAGCAACGGTTATAGAGAGGTCTATTAATACTTGCAAATCATTTAGGTCCTTCTGATTATGCAGAATTTCTTGGGATGCAAATACCTCCTGTCCCTTCAATCCCGCGTCAGTTAAATGCGCCCATAGTGAATCAATCGACTAGTTTGCTTGGCCAAAAGAGGAAACAGAGTAACGGGAACATGGATCCTTCCGCAGATGGAAGACCGAAACGCGGTCGACCAAGGAAGATAAGAAGGGAAGATAAGTAAGTTAAGATTTACAAAAATGTGAGATAGTTTCGTTCGTTTTGCAGTACTGACATCTGTGTAAAATAGGCCGTGTAGTCCAATGAAGTTTTATTTTGTTTGAGCGATTAGTTACAGTATTACCTCGGAATATATTACAGTAATTAAGCCTTGCTTATAAATTTTAGCTATACACTTTCACTAGTAGTTCTTAGTTGACATATACTTTATATGAAGCCAAACGTGCATTTTTCTGAATAACTTAGGTTTTCTGCATTTTCAGTACGATGTTAGCTAATGCAAGGAACATGCTTTATTTCATTTTTAATTTTTGAAATACATAGTTTTTCTTTTGTAGGATTCTGAAATTCAAAAGAAATTATGGCTTTTTATTTTTGGGCAGTGTTTTTGCTGTACTTTTTCGTATTCCAGATGTATCGATGAAGAAAAAATCTTGGGTGATAGCAAAAAAGGCGAAAGTTCGCAAGTTGAGGGGAAAACTGCAAACGGCTTCCCTCTCTCTGATAGTGAATTAATGCCGCCACCTACAATGCTACCCTTGAGGATCAAGCGGATGACTCATGCTTCGAATGCAAGTACACAACAGTTCCAGTGGTCATCTGGCTTGCCAGCGCTACCTCAAAAATCAGATGCTCCTGAAAAACCGTTGCCGACTGCTGGGAATTCAGCCTGTTGAGTGGCTGATATTCCGATGGCGAATCAGCTCGTCTATAAACGCTGACAGTCATGCGTGAATAAGCTTTTCTATAGCTTTTGCCAAAGGAATTAGAAATAATTAAGTAGTTTTCAATTTTATATCGCAATCTACGGTTTTACAGTGTTGTCTGTATTTGTACAATTTCGTCAATAGTTCGTATGACTACATCGTAGTGGCGTACTGTAAGTCATTTGGTTGTTTAATTTCGCATCCTCGGTTTCGCTTATATTTATACATTTTTCAAACAAACAACTTTAATGATTCGGGTTCTTGATATTCATTTTTTTTCATTTTTTCTTTCTTTTTTATGAAAATGTTTTTGGAGGACTAATTTAGGTCAGTATCGCTGAGCTTTTTAACTGACTGGTTGTTTTGCGGTTTCAAGGTCTTTACTGAATGATATCCTGATAAAAACTTAGTCGTTCTTCTGAGGCTTTTTATTAGATTTTCTCGCTATTAGAGTAGGTTGAAGCTGTATACATTAGTTCTTATGAGTTCCTTTTTTTAATGAGTTTTTTTGTATTTACGAGCACTGACATTGTAGTTTAAAATTGTATTTTTGAATTTATTTTTCTGAAGGAGCTGAACGTGGGATCATACGAAGTTATGTTGAAATTTGGCTATGTAAAGATGTATTCTTGAAATTCAGAGAAGTCGTTTTGTTTTTTTTAAAAGCATTCTAGAAGAAGATGAAAATGCAATTCAAACTTTGGTTTCAGCTGTAATCTCTTACTTTGTTTGGAGCTCTTTAACTTTTCTTGAACTCTCATTATCTTCACTTCTATTTTTTCTTAATAATTTTCTTACAGTTTGCTGTTGAGTACTGTTTATCTTGTTGTAAATTTATTGATTGGTTGATCCACCTGAAGAATTTTCGCGTTGGATGAAGTTGCTTACGCTTTGCATCTAGGTATCGTAGTGAGAATTTTGATATGATTAATGTCATTACAGTTACTTATTAAAAGAACTGACAATTTGTTTGATTTGAAAAAATTTCTTAGTGGTTCTTGTTATTGTTTTCTTGTGTAATAACTTACATATATCATGTGATACTTGTTGTGAAGTTTTAGTGTTTTTCTCCATTTCCTTCTTTTTGCCCAACTTATTGGGCATTAAGTATGCAGTTGCCGTTAGCAGAGAATGGGTAGAGAAATAATTCTTGTTTAAATTTTTTCTTAAATTACTGGTTGTTACGTGAAAGAAAGATAAGTTGTGTTCTAGTGAAAGAAAAAGAAAGGAAGAATGAACTATTGGATATGAAGGAAGTAAGATGTTTTTTTTGCAACAGAAGTTCACTTACTTGAAGAAATGTTATGAAGAATTTAGATAGGTTTGTTCAAAGCAATTTCAGGGGGAGCGCTGCTCATTCAGGTGGTGCGCGCAATCAATTTTTTTTTAAGTATCAAAGTGGAAGATCTAATCTTGGTGATTCTGAGGAACTTCTAGGGTAGTTAAATTAGCTATTTGATGTGAAAGGTAGCCATTTTATTGCTGTGGCTAGTTTCGAAAGATTGGCAGTCGGTGATGGTCTGGGGAGATATGGACTTTGCGTTTCACAGAAGATTTGGCTGTGTAGTTTGGTGTTTCGAAGAAACAAGTGGAGTAGGTTTTGCATTACACTAAGTTTCCTCCTTGTGGATGTGTTGATATTCGGCAAAAAAGATCTGGGACATTTAGGTTTTCATGGTTTTAAAAAACGTACAAGTTTTTTTCTGTCGCGGTGAGGGCACTTGTAGGCAAGCATATTCGTTGCTGGTATGTTTACGCGACCTGTACTGACCTCATTTATGCGGCACAAAGTTATGTAGTAGTATGTGTTCGTTATCGGTTGTTATAGGAGAGTTTATATCGACATGTTTGTTATTAGTGTGATTCTTTTTGTCTTTTGTTGATGCTGTAAATATCATTTATCATTAATTGAATTATGTTGGCTTCTGCAGTAGATTTGAGTTAATTCTTAATACGTGCAATAGGTGAGCGGCAAAGCCAAGCAAATTTAATTTTTGACAATTTTTAGGATGAAATTTACATCACTATCATCCTTGCAACTTCGCCGTCTTCAGTCAGTTGCCTCAACTCTGTTGTGCAGATCGGCGCATACTTCATCGGAAAAGTAGGATTCCAGTTATGGTAGCATAAATAATGACCCGGTTTTTGAAGTGGTTTTTGTTGCTCTCTTGTTTTGTCCAGTTTTTTCTTTCATTTTCTTCAACTCTTTCACTGCTTGTGAGTCTTTTTACATTTAAAACTATGAAAAAATAGTGCTACAAACGCCTTTGTAGTTTAGCTTTTTTATCTCATAAACTATTTCTTTTTGTCTTTACTTCTCCATCTTTACAAATGAAGCTTTCGTCGCAAATTTCTATTATTTTTTTGAAGTTTGACATAAATCTGTGCTTTTCTTTTCTGCTTTTTAAGGAGCTAGTGTTAAAGCGCGCTTTTGTCGCCTGTGTGTATAGCTTAGCGGTTCCGAGAGCTTCATGACGCAGTTGCTGTATACGTTTTCTGCATCTGCAACTTTGAGAGCTTAAACGACTCATATCTATTCACTTAAAATTTTTATATTGGATATAATGGATTCCTGACTTTTAACTCTTCTATTTATTCATAGAATCCTTGGTGACTCTAGCTTTCTAGTCATAATTCTAGTACTTAATGACTTATTACATGGAGCGGTTGAAATGTTTCAGGGAAGATTTTGTGAAACGGTTGCTCACGTATATCAATCAGTAAGTTCTCAGCCTAATTCATGCGCATCTTTATTATGCTACTCAGCTTGATTTTATTGACTCACGTCAGTATTCTTTTGGGGATTTAAGGTGGTTCGAATTAAAAGCCATTCTGAGCTAAAAAACTAGCATTGATGGAAATAATCAAAAAAAAACTTTGCGACAACGGTAGTTAGTTGCTGTAATTTCATTTTAAAACAATAGGGTGCTGTTGAGGTAGCTAAAATATCAGTGGGTCGATAAAAGGAAATTTCTGCTCAAAGTTGAGACCTAAATGACCGCAGTTGCGTAATAAATGTAAATTCTTCACAGAAGTACACCGTAGCAGGAAATGGCAGATAAGGATGTCGATTGCTCTAGCTATGAGGAAAAGTCAAAAAGATTCTGCTAACGATTAGATGGAGATTGTGTCAAAACCTTATATAAGAAATTCTTATTATGAGTAAAAAAGATATTTTTTGAAAACAAAATCTTCATTAGTGTTTGATAAGTAATTGATCATCATGAAGATTCTTTATTTACCGGTAGTTCTTTAGCAAGCCTTTTTTATTAACGTTCCGTTTCTAAGACTCAGATTTTTTATTTAGGAGCTATCCTTTCATTAATATTTTGCAGTATAAGATAAGGGGACCTCTTTGCTTGCTACTTTCAGCTATTTTATCTTCATTATTTGTTTTGACTTTATAAAATATGAACACTTTAAGAATGAAATTTTCGCACAGTTTTACTACTTAAATGACAAAAAGGGATAATCGCTGCCAGAGGTTTTTGAGGAATTAGATCAGCATGTGAAGGTTGTTCTTCCAGTGACAAGTGGAATATGCGGTCATGGTATCACTTGTTTGTTAGTAACATTAGGTTGGTTCAGCACGAGGGGAATCTTGCTACAGCATTCTTCGTTGAAGGTTAGAATTTGAAAACACTTAGTGATGGTAACCCTGAGATTACAGTATTTGAAGTGAATTTGGAACTAGGAGTACCTGGTGAATTGATTTCTCAGAACATTTTTATTGCGGTGGGAAGAAAGGAAACTAAAATGAATAGTTTATTGTGAATTTGGCAGGAAAGTGACTGCACACGCAATTCCTCGAATGCTTTTTTTTAATAATTGAAAGCGGATTCACTGTTACGATTATCCATTACTTTTAATGAATAACAGTTAGACTGCCTCAGGTTATTTATTAGACTTCTAAGTCAGTGGCAAAACTACAGTTATATCGCAAAAAGTTTCGTTTGTTTGTTGTCATCGGCAGCAGTGTCACTGATGTTGTGAATCCGTCATAACTAGGGGATGCTGGTCAGAACTGTAGGTTACTCGTGAGAACGTGGAACTGTAGAGACTGAGGTCTTTAGGTAAAGTTAGTTTTGTCGTAGCGCAGCAGCACAGATTCGCATCTTCGAAATATTGTGAAAAAACTTATGGAGGATCTGTTTGAGAGTCAGCTTTACCTACCTAATTTGTCAAATTTGCTGTACCATGTTGATTTTTTAAATAACCAATAACAAAAAGTGACCTTTACGTTCTTGTAAGCCCTAGTTTTACTTTACAGAAAGCTTGATACTTTTACTTTTGGATGGTTTGGATGATAGGATAGTTATGCATAAGGGTTTTCAATGCAGAGTAACTCACCATGGTCCTCCTGGATCTTGAAGTTTTATCTTCTTTTAAATTTTTGGGTCAGTTGCCTTTTTGGCTTCGGAATTGCTAGAATCGATCATATAATTATTTTTTATTTTTGTTTTACTCATTCTTTGTTTCCTCTTCTGAGCCTAATGGTTACAGCAGCAGAGTTGGTAATGGAAGAAAATGTTGGTAATTTGAGTTGGACCTTAAAATTGTTTCTTACTGTTTTAACTTTGCATTTTTCTTTCAGTTGCTTTATTCAGTATCTTAATTCTCTTTTAAGATAATGGAGTGTCCTTCATTTTAGTGAAACCTTATCGCTTTTTCGACAAATTAACCGGCTTGCAAGTGAAGGAAAATGGAATAGTGTCACTAACGCACCGTGTTTACCATATTACCTAAATGGAGAAGCAAGAGATGCCTTTCGTAAACTGGTATGTCGCTTAGCTTTTTCAGAGGTACTATGTAGTTTATATAAGCTGTTAGGATCCAAACCTCAGGAGGTGGTAAATTAATGTGATGGAGGCACCATTTGGGACCAAGCCAAATGAGAAACTGCCTGACTTGATAGGGCACTGCTTTTTAAAAGTTCTTGAGGGTACTTTTTAATTATTTAACAATTTACTCCTTACCAATTTTAGATTATATGATGTTCCTCTTAATTTTGGGTCACCGTCTCACTACCAGTACTTTTAGTCAAAGGCTGTCAAAGCACCCTAGTTTTCTTATATATTTTTTGAGCATATGAATATGCACAGCGTACTAATTAGTTAGTGCCACCATCATACCGATCATTTTCTTCGTACAAGACATTCTGCTTTTTGAGCTACTTAATGTCTCCAGTTAAAAGATATTTTTTACTTTGGTTATATCTTGGCTCAGGCAGCCTCTTCGTTGCTCAAACTGTCGGTTTTGATAGGTATCCTTACAAGTTCTCTTCTTCAAGTATAACAGTCACTTGTCCTTGAATACTGTTCCTGACAAGCGCCGAAACTAGGCTTGTCTTGGCGTATTCGATTTTTTTGCCATTTGTGGAAAAATAGATCCTTGTTTTCTTTTTGACACTTAACGTTGACTCATGTAAAGTTAGGCAACCTGTAGTGGGTTCGTTTCTTAACTCAAGAATGGTTTTTGGAAGAAGAGGATAAAAATAATGGAGTTTGAGCGCAAATATCGAAGAATCAACTATAGACGTTTCCAGTTGCATGCAAGGCGTTCTTTTTGTTTATTTTTATTTTTTCTCATGCCAGCTCTGGCAGAGAGTAGATATTCACAGTTCCAATTTTTGCTTCATACCATCTGGTGCGTAAGAAGTTCTGGATGTCTTTTTTTAATGTTCATGTCGCATTATTTTTTTTACGTATCAGTGTGCGTAGCTCTGTGAAACCTTGTTATTTCTTCCATTACATCGTCTTTGACTTTCGTTACATTCTGTTGCTCCACACAACAATATCTTTCAACTGAAAAACATTGCCGAAGCAAGACGTTAAGATTTTGGATATAAAGTACTATAGACTTTTCATTTTCTTGATTGCGAACGTTGTAATTGGAAATGTAGGTGTAATGTTACCCCAGATATCATTTTTACCTTTTTTTCTGGGAAACGAAGACAGCCTGAATTTTTTATTAATAAGAGAGGATGTTCGTGAAAAGTTACCTTCCTTTTATGTAAGAATATATTCATTGCAGCATCCAGAGGACTTTCGTATTGCCTTTTTCAAGACAAACCCTGGGCAGTTTATAAAGTTAACCGCGCGATTGGTCGTATCTTTCGCTGCAATCTTCCTTGGAGTGGCAATTTACGAATTCGTCGTATCCGAAGAGAAGCGGCTGAAGTACAAATATAGACATAAACATCAACATCATGCTGAAGAACATCACTAGTTTTCAGTCGGGTTTCGTTGATTGAAGCTTTGTATCTATTTGTATCAATTAGAAAAAGCTGTAAACAAGTAGCTAGTCGTGCAAAATAAAAGTAATTTCGAATTGCACTTACTATTTCGCGTCATGCGTCTTGGTTAAAACATCAATTAATGAAATCATGTGAAGGAATTGAAAATATACTGCCTTGGTTTTCTCAATGAGGCAGAGCATCAAAACCAGTAGTAACATGTATTTCGACCCCAGGATCCCAGTTGCCAATTGCCTTTTGTCAAAACCACGTCAGGTAGTGGCTCCAGCTTTTGAGTTCTTTGTTCCGTAAAGACATTTTAAAAGTCTCACATTAGGAAGGCTTCGAGTCATTATAAGTTTAACTTTTAAAGTAGCCAAGATGAACGAGAGGTCGGGAGTTACCAGTATGACTGTGGGGCTGCCGATGTGATCGATCCTGTCCTTTACACTTCGGAGCTAAAAGAGGACAAAGAGATGCGATATGTGGTGAGGGCTTCAAGATTTTTTTTTCGTCCCCATCTTTAGTTTTCATTAACGTATTTGTGGCAGAAGTTCCACTTAGTTCCTTTTTGTTCGGGAATTCTTTCAAGCTAGTGAAAGTGACGTTTCTGGTTCTTACTGGAAATGATACTTCGGACCTTACCTGTAGTTTTTTTCTGAATGGTCGCATTCCAGCGCTAATCTTGGAGTTTCCAAATGTAAGAGGAAGCACTTGCGTCTTTCCCACAAAACTTGTCTGTTTTTAACCCTTCCGGCTTGGTGATTTTGGAAACAGTAAATTTCCCAAAGAATTACGTTATTTTGTGATACAGCTGAACTTTCTTTACTCAGGGAGCGTCGATGAAGCTGGTTTGGTTTTCAGTGCTGTACAAGGGGTTTAAATAAACCAGTGTCTCTTTTCCGGCAGTGTTTTATTACATACATTCACCCTGCCTCAGTGTAATGGTGCATACCAATCCACTAGGAGTATGTAGGAAGTTTTTTTGAGTTCCGATTAGTAGGAGATTTTAAAGAGCAATCTTCCAAGATATGACCGTGCTCAAGACAATCAAGTGCTGTTAACAGCGACGAAGGTGGATCTTTGCAAGAAAAAGAATTGTATCAAGTTCACGAGGAAGACAAAAAACTAATTAGGATGACCGGAAGGTGGCGGTTCATAGACTTGTTATGTGCGGTACTCTAAAGCAATGGATCGTTTTACTCTGAAATTTTATTTTACAGTTTTTCTTCACAAGCTTTACATGAACTTCATCTTGGGATTCAATAACCGATGTATCTTCTATACTGTCCACTACAAAAAGCAAGACTCATACAGAGAAAAGGTTCCGCATGTAATGTTAGACTTAATAGGTGCTGTGAGATTTACTGGTTTCAAGAACTATGGGACGGTTAGCTGGTTTGTTGGTCATTACTCCGTCGCTCGTACGTTGAATTTTGAGAAGACAAGATTGACAATTATTTGGACACCGGGATAATGGTTGAAATGAGAAGTTTTGACTCACTTACTATAAAAATACTAGAAAGATTTTATGCTAAAAACTTCAGGCATATATAAAGAAGTTGAGAAAGTAGGTCTCTTCGTGAGAAATTGCAATCGAAAATCTACATTCTCTATTGGATCCTGAACAACCCAAAGCCATCAACTGTGCCGCGTTTACTGAACATGGCGGCTTTCTGAAATATCAAAGGAAAAAAGTATGTGAACATATATG